CATCATCATCATCATTATAAATGCATCTGGAGAAAAATGAATATGGAAAATTTACATTACCTTGTTTAGAGTTATTATCACTGGTATCTTCAAGTAGCACCACCTCACTTTAATGCAATAAACACAATGATATCAGCGAATCATTCAAAAAACTTATGGCTAATCACTAGTGTTGAACTGAAAGCATGTGAAGGTGCCTATAGACATGGCAACTGCTGTACGGTTAGGATAGGTTAGATGCTGCTTCACTACGGTCCAACTCGTATCATGTGCAACTATTACACAAGTAAACAATACTCRAGGGAATGACACATGGTATAAAGCATGTGAAGGTGCCTATAGACATGGCAACTGCTGTACGGTTAGGATAGGTTAGATGCTGCTTCACTACAGTCCAACTCGTATTATGCACAACCATTAAGCAAAAAATAATACTCAAGAAAATGATGAGTGGTCTGAAACAGGAAAACATTACACTCAAAGTAAAGAGGTCTAGTCGTGATCTCTTCTTCACCATAATAACGTTCAAAGACAGTGGCCATCAACTTACTCTTCCTCCTTCTCCTCTTCTCGTTCTTTTCCTTCTTCTTCTTCTATGTCAGACATTTCTTCGGATTCCCCAAACTTTGGAAGTCCTTTAAAACCTTTATCAGGTGATTTCTCAGCTTCTTGTAGAGCTAATCAAACAAAATTGAGCTTTATCAAGTATTTTATATACTTATTCATAATAATTTGTTTAGAGAATTCATATTATTTATGCTTTTAGGCAGGAGTGGAATAAAAAAGTGCGGAAAACGAGAACAGATTGAATAAACAAATATAACTACGTATCAAAACGTCAACCCCTTTCTATGACAAGACAATATATTTTCATCCTTAAATGTGAATTTTCCGTATTCTTCAATTCTGTAACTTCTTTTTGTCTGGTTTTATGATGAAAACAGTTCAAGTGAAGTAAGATTATCTTACGTCGTACATATTTGATACCTAAAAGCACGAACATAACCCCTCTTTACGTCCTGTTACGCACTTTTAAAACATACCTCTCAGCATTTTAGAGTTTGATCTTCTTATTTGACCATGCCATGTGTGTTAAGACCGGTTTATAGTAGTTTTATCAGGGCATATTTCAACCCTAGTGTTTTCTGCTCTCGCTTCTTGTCCACCGCCATTTTGAAAATAATAAGAGCGCGCGAAGAGGAACCTCGATTTGATGCCCGGAAACCACAGGAAGCCCACTAAAGCTCCGTCCACACTATGCCGGATAAATTTGAATCCGAATTTCACAAACCGAAAGCGAAAAAAAAGTTTTCCGTCCACACTAATACGGCTAGCCGGCGTTTTCAAATTGTTCCACTCTGGAGACCGTATTCGAAAAAATTCGTTTCGGTGAATCGTGGATGCTGGGCCTAACCGAATAAATAAAAATTCGGATTCAAATTTATCCGGCATAGTGCTGGTGTGGACGGGGCCTAATAAATTATGTTCAGTACCGCGCGCCTCCTCCGGGCATCTCCTTGGCTCTATTTGCTCCTTAGGCTACATCTCACTAAGCATTCCTTTATTTTCCGAAGTTGTGATTTAGAGTCGTTTTTCGAAGCCGAAAATAAACTCTAGGGCCTAGGATGAGTTTTGGCCTTATTTCTTTATTTATTTAGAGGCTTTCATTAGAGGAGTTAAAAGGAGACTCTGCTCGCAGGGTAGCTTGACTTACAAAGGAGAAAAAAGCGAAAAACAAACAATAAATACAAAAGCAAACAAGCGTGACGAGGGGCAGGCGAACGGACTCTCGGTCCCGTTGAGATGCGCTCCACACACTTATACCACACTCACAATAACATGATTTATAATGATCAGTAAATAGATAGCGGTGTCGGGGCCGAAATCTCCGGCGTAGACGTAAATGCTTCGCGCTGCCTTACTGTGCTTCAGCTTTAGGTCTGGAGGTATGGTCCTACATTAGTTAACCAACGAAAAGTCTAACTTTTTGTTAGAAGAATCGAAATTGAACCTTGAGCATCAGGAAATCTAGAACGTGGACGTCTTTGAAAGCGAAAAGTTTATCCATTCGATATTGGCCATTTTTACATCCTTCACAATGATTTGCTTTTCCGAAAACTGGTTAATAATCTGTCATATTTAAACGTTCGATTCTTCACCGAATCGAATGTACTATATATCTGCTTTTCTCTGTAAGATGCTGATTAGCAGTTTGTTCTGATTTCATTTCCGACGTTTCAAGTATCAAGAGGTTTACTAAACGCTTTCTCACTGGATAATAATTCTATTCTTTATTATTTCTTAGTGAATTTGATAGCTATATAGTAAATACTAGTAGTCTTGTGAGAGGAATATATTTATCAGGGACATTTATTGTATTTATACATTTACTTAGGGACAGAGCCAGCAGTTGCCAACCTAATGAAACAAACCATCCCTCCCTCCTCTCCCCTAAGACATGAGCGTGTTGCGAATAAATCTGCCAATGAGAGGGAATCACAAGCACCCGGCTAGTGTCTACCTTCCCGCTCATATTCAAATGCGGTATGTGCAACTACAGCTACTTTCAAAAAGGTTGGTGTAGGATTTGTTGCATGTTGCTTATCAAGCTTGAAAATGTATTATGTTGATATGTAAATAATGACAGCACAGAAGAAAATATACCGCTTGACACGACGCTCATATTCAAATGCGGTATGTGCAACTACAGCTACTTTCAAAAAGGTTGGTGTAGGATTTGTTGCATGTTGCTTATCAAGCTTGAAAATGTATTATATTGATATGTAAATAATGACAGCAAAGAAGAAAATATACCGCTTGACACGACGCTCACATTCAAATGCGGTATGTGCAACTACAGTTACTTTCAAAAAGGTTGGTGAAGAATTTGTTGAAAACAAATGAAAACAATGKCAGCACAGAAGGAAATATACCCGAAAAACGTACAAACAAAGTTAAGGGGAAAAGTCATATTGTTGTGAGCTTTCGCTGATTGGATTCCCCAAGCCCATAGTGCATTTCGGGTTTGGTATGCAACATCACACAAAACCTTCACCAACGTGTTTTAAAATAGCTGTATATAACACTGTTGGTTTAACTCTATAGATATGGTTTGGTTATTGCAGCTCAGCTTTTGCTCTGAACAGCATAGATACATAGGATTATTCTCGAGGCAGRATTGTTGCATTTGTGGGTTTGTAGTGTTATAGTGTTTTGTCTTGATTTAGGATCGATAGAAAAAATGGATCGTACTCCCTGAAACGAAAACAATAAGCATTATCAGATTTATTTAAAGTGCTACTTGAACAAAAATCGCTCCAAAATTAAAACTCTTTCATTCGAGCTGGAACTTTGCTGAAATAATCTTGAATACATTAAGAACCACTCACTGAAATATCTTTCTGATATTCGAAAGGAAAGGGCCAAAATTTTACGGTTTTTTTACTTGGCCCTTTAACTGTGAGAGGGAATATTAGCTTTTCCGAGGTAACGCGGAAACCTGGTAACGAGTTGGACGCGCGTTGAATTATGGTCTTTTCGTTCTACAGGTTTTACTTTTTGAATCGAGTCACATTTACTTTGGTTTTTGATCTGGGTTTCAAGAGAGTTTGCTAAGCTTTCCGCCATATTGGAAAAAAATGTCGTCCCTAAAACTTTTACCCTGGTCCCAGAGGCTCGACGATTTTTCTCCTGGCCACGTATATTTTGAGCCGCGAAGCGGAGAGCGAGCTGCGAAGACTCACTGCTCCCTGCTCTGGGACCAGGGTATAAAACTTTTAAAGCAAGATAAAGAATGGATTTGYGTATCTTACATGTAAAAGTGGGATTTGTGGCTTGTTGTTTAGAAGCACACCTCTGACACCATTATCTTCACCAAATAACAATGACACTACGTCATCGAATACAGCTTTGATGCAAAACAGAATGACGTCAACTTCTGAAAGAAAAAATGAGAGAAATCTTCTTATGACGGGGAAAAAATTATTGAACAGGCGTCCCTTGCGTCCGGTGCCATGATTGGATGTGAACAGTGATCTCGCGCAGTGATCGGCTAAAGGAGCACACGCATCCACTAAAAGTTGTGATACTAGGCTCGCAGTACGATCAAATGACACGTGGTTCAATGACCAATCAGCCTGATTTCTTTAGAAGTTTTTACCTTGATGGTAAATTTGAGGAGGCATGATATTTGATTAAAAGGTTGCTTTTTGCACTGGGTAAGTGAGCCAATCAGTATGCACGTTYTTTGGAAGTTCTTACCTTCATTGTAGAGTTCAGGAGACATGACACACAAACTATCCCGGGTTTACCTTTTGCATGAGATAATTGAACCAATCAGCATGCACGTTCTTTGGAAGTTCTTACCTTTGTCGTAGAGTTGAGGAAAGTACTGGAATGGAAACGTCATCTGTTGTCCTTCACGAGGAACTACACATCTATGTGACAAGATGGGTGGTTTACATAGAGACACCGTATCACCCAGACACTTGAGTATGGCTTCCTTTATTACTCGACCCAGTCTGGAAACAACCAGTATACAATAAGCTGAAGTAACACCTTCTCAAGAATAAATTGTATAATACCTATAAGGTGATCTACATAAGGACACAGCTAACTCACAGATCCAACCCTGAAACAACCTCTGGGCTGA